TAGGGCTTAGGGTTTAGGGCCCTTACCCAAAACCCAAAACCCCATGCCCTGAACTCTTGAACCCTCCGCCTAATAATCCTAAGCTCGCGAGCCCGAGGACTTTACGCATGGAACCGTAGCGTGAGCCCTATTACCTGGTGAGCCGCTAAGCAATAAAGCCCCTACCTTAAGAACCCCAAACCCAGTTTTTTGTAGGTTCTTATTATAAACCCTAATATGGGATGTATAGGGACCCTACAAAAAAGTAGGTTTTGGGTTCTTAAAGTAGAGCCTTAACCCCCAAACCCTGAACCCTAAACCATGGTGCCTGTCCAAACCCGCAAGGTCTTCTGAAGGGCTGAATTCTGAGTGGAGGTGCGTTCCGAAAACCAATGAAGAGCCTTTGCAGGGAGCACTCTGCAGACCCTAGGGGTTTAGGGTTTAGGGTTTAGGGTTTAGGGTTTAGGGTTTAGGGTCACCAAACCTTGAAAGCCCCCACACACACAGAGCCTGCAAAAACCCTGCGCAAACACGATGCGTCCTATACTTGCCTATAGCTGCCTATACATTCCTGCAGGAAGCATAAAACGAAACCCTCCCAAACCCTGAAGCTCAAACACTAATTAAACCAACCCTTTAGTATCCCTGCTAGCTGTTCGAGCATCGCCAGAGGAGTCGAATCGCTGGCGCCTCACATCGGCTCTCTTCACACACCTGGCCAAGGACTGACGCGGACGGGCGGAGAGGGTTTAGGGTTTAGGGTTTACCAGTAGGTTCGTCCGGCTTCTTGTTTCTAAAAGGTACACTTTTTCCCGGTACGGAAAAATGTGAATGCGGAAGCATTCTTACTTAGTCGATTTCAATCCGCTGAAACAAAGGTTGCTCCGCTCGTGATTACAGGTTTAAAATATACTCAAGGAATAGTTATTAACATTTCGAGCCAGCGAGAGGGCCAAAACCGTGCTGTGCACAAAAAGTAAGCGGTACGCCTAAAAAGTAAGCGAGTACGGGTAGATGTCGACATCTGAGAACGGCTTGTTTTCACCAAAATGTCGACATAGTTCGGGTTGGGTACTGGTACGGGTTGAGTACGGGTCGTATTTTCAACATATTTGTTGACATTTTGGACCGGTGCGGGCTAGTACGCTTTTTTGGTGTCCGCACAAAAAGTATACGTTTCGTACTCTCTGTAAGCCACACACTTGTGGTTTGGGACTATCGGTTTCGGATTTGCAGGATAGACAATCTGCAGAAGAAGCCTTGACAAACAGATAAAATTCAAAATCGATCCGGACATAAGCCCAGAAAAAACTAAACCGACATAAAAAGTAAGCTGTAAAAGTAAAAACGTAAACGTACACCGCAGAATAGAAAAAAGTACACGATCGAACTCACTGGTAGGGTTTAGGAGAGTTCCTCTCGGGGTTCATTCCGTTAGGAACCCCAAAAGGACATGACATAAGCATAGTATGTGTTTTTTACAGGGGTATCCCTACCTTATCATTATAAGGGGGGGGCCCTATTGAAGTTTTGAAGGTTCCTTTGAAAGGTATCTAGAATGGCTCCTCTACATAAAAAAAGGGATTTAGACTGGTTCCTGTACAGGCGATCACAGCAACCTTGTTCCTTAAGGAATCCTCCAGGGATTGTAACATAGAAGCCTAGATACTTACCAATACTAGGGGGCTCCTTAAGAAAACTATAGTCTGTTGAAAAATCTGTCCCCCAACCCTATTCTGATTATTAAGACATAAGCTTCAGGCTGAAGGGTAGAAGTCCGTGAAAATGAAAGCCTTGAATCTAAGGGGGTTATGTGGCCTGGGCGCGATCTCTCATGTAGACGGCCATGAATCTTGCACTGTAGAACATGGGTAGAAATTGCAAAATATAGATGAACACTTGCTTGTGCCATGCCATCTTATGCTTTTGTTCGGGTTCCTATTTCCAAGCATAGAACAAGATGCCGCCAAACCCTATTCAAATGATTCAGGCGCTATAGTACTAAAGACAAAGTGCCAAGCTCCAACTCCGCAAGGGATGCAAGCCATGTCAGAGGGTCCAAAGTACCTATATACTTTGATGCAGGGTTTCTAAATTCGGAATTACGGCGGGAAATACCAATATGATTTGTGGAAGTATCCAGAACATTCCCTAGGACCCTGTGGGTGTAAGGTTTATGGTTGAGGGTTAGGAACCCTAAGCCCTACGTCTAAGATGTTTTCACATCTTAACCTTTCCCCGCGGTTTAGGGTTTACGATTTAGGGAGTCCTAATGAATGCTTTCTTGATCCAGGGCTCAAAGCGGAGCAAAAGCCGGATCTTGGAGCACCATGCTTGAATAGTTTTTTGGTGCCTTTTCCTTAGGAGACATCATGAAGTAATAGTTTTCACACCCTAAACCCCTAAAACCCTAAACCCCAAACTCCTAAAACCCTAAAGCCCTAAACCCTAAACCCTGGTTATTCCTTGGTCACTCCATAAGCCCCTAAACCCTAAACCC